TACATAAAAGTGTTCAAAGCATCATATCTATATTAACAAAATATAGATAAAAACGAAGTGCCCAAAAGGGGTGGAAAGTAAAATGAGGGGGGAAAAATCACACCTAGTAAAGCATATTTTGAACACTAGATAGAAACAGGAGAGTTTGGTACATTAAGGAACCAAGAGATTACAAACTATTCTTGGTTACCATTATAATTATAGGTCATATGCAAAAGGATAGTGGTTTGCAGGTAATTTTTTTTCTCTTCAAAATTTTCTCTGGCATTATGGCTGCATTAATTTTTAAATGCAAAATATAAAACTACTTCCATATCATCGAATCTTAAAGGAGAATAAATCTTCCCCTTCCTTTTGGGGAAGCTTGTTGCTGACGTTAACTTAGAAGGGCCATTAACTGAGGTGCCTGGGTGGCACAGTTGGTTACGCGTATGACCCTTGATTTTGGCTCAGGTCGTGATCTCACGGTTTGTGAGATGTAGCCCTACACTGACAGGTGCAGAGCCTGCTTGGGATTCTCTCTCTCCCTCACTCTCTGCCCCTCCACTGTGCGTGAGCATGTACCCTCTCTCTCTTAAAATAAATAAACTTTAAAAAAAAAGTGCCATTAGCTAAATCACCCATGGTTGAGACTACTAAAGTAGAAACAGAAATACTAAATCTACCTACATGGCCAGAAAGCTTGCTAAATCTAAAAGATGCTATTTTGCTGATTTGAGGGATTTCATGTCATACGGTCTTTGTTTTGATTACATAAAATTCCCATATTTCACTAAAACAGCTGGTTTTGCCTGAATAAGCTTCTGAAACCAGAGACTAATGGGCAAAGGCTAAGCCATTCCATTTTAATGAAATAAAGTATCTATACATACTGTAACGGAAAAACCTTAGCCTTTTTTCTTTCCATGTAGCAAGAAGCCCAGTTCTTCCCTACTGTGTATTTCTTCCCTGTGTGTCTCCTTTACTAGCCACACACAACACTTCACTTCTGACACTTCTGGTCCCCAAATGTGTGGAGGTTTTACCCCAAGTAATTCCCTGTGACACCAGCTGGATGTCCTAACATCCAACTCAGTTATGGCTACCTGGAGAGAGCATCAGAACCCACAGGCTGAGGGCTTAGTCCTACAAGACTGTCCCCTCACCCCAACTTCAGATGACAGTCACAAGCCCAAGTTACCATGGGTGCTTCTGACCAACCAGCTATAGATAGAAAGTTCCAACGAACAAGCTCCTCCTTGGATTCAGTTAATTTGCTAGAGCGGCACACAGAATTCAGGGATATACTTACTTATGTTTACCAGCTTATTAAAGGATATGATAAAGGATACAGATGAATATCCAGATGGAAAAGATGTGTAGGGCCAACTATTTAGCAAAGCGTACCAGGCTTCCCTGTCCTCTCGGAGTGCATCACTCTCCCTGCACCTCCACATGTTCACTAACCTGAAAGATCCCTGAATCCCATACTACTGAGATTTTTATGGAAGCTTCCTCATGCATGGATGATCACTCATCGACTCCATTTTCAGCCCTTCTCCCTTCTCAAGAGAATAGGGGGTGGGGCTGAAAATTCCAAGCTTGGTCTTAGCTTGGTCTGTGACCAGCCCTCATCCAGGAGCCATCCAGGACCCACCCAGAGTGACCTCATTAAGACAAAAGACACTCTTATTACCCAGGAAATCACATGGGTTTCAGGAGCCCTGTGTCAGAAACAGGGGTCAAAAGCCAAATATTAGAATAAAAGATGCTATTTGTGCTCTTATCACTTAGGAAATTATAAGAGTTTTAGGAGCTCTGCACAAGGAACTGGGAGCAGAGATCTCACACAGACCAAGCATCAAACATTTGGGGAGAGTTCAACCCAAGAATACTAATGGCAAAATCTAAATGGGAAGTATGGGAAGAACCTAGAATCTTTAGGGAAAAGAGAAATGGGGTAAGAAAGGCTACGAACTGAAGCAAAAAGATCACTGGCTTATGTGAATAAACAATGGTAAAACAATTCTTGCTGAATTCAGAATTTCCTGAGCCTAGAACTTCTGGATGCTCATCTAGGAGTCATTATCCTTTGTCCAGTGGCAGGGAGCTGCCCATACACTTGAGTTAAAAACTTTTTTCATGGAAATAATTAAGTCTAGAAAGCTTCAAATCTAATTCCTGAATGCCCCCTAATTACTGATATAAACCACAGTTCAACCTAATAATTGTTGAGATGGAAATGGAGACAAATGCCTATCAGATTCCCCCATCATTTACTCAGAAATATCCTCAATCTCCAATAACAACCTGGAAGAAATAGAATAGCTTTGTACAAGACTGGGCTTGAATGAAAACTATAATTCTATCAATTTAAAGAGAGCATAAATATTACAATAGAAAAAGTTCCCTCCTTCTCCTCTGATACACATACCAAATGTTTATTTCCCATCTTCTTTAAAATGGGGGTGGGGCATGAATAAAACAGAGGAAGGAAGCAAAGAGAAAAAGAGACCAAGATTTCTCAAAGGAATGTATAACCAAGGGATGATGTCAAGGCATTAATAGTGAAAAAACAAAACACCAGAACTGACACAAAAACTGGGGCCTAATATCACCCAATCAGCACATTCTCTCCTTAGAGGCAAAGTCTACATGAAAAACCAAATTATAATCAAAAAGCAGGTATATTTTCAGAATGAAGTTCCCCAATGACTAAAATTTTTCAACCATGATACCTTAAGACACCTTCACTAGGGAGACATAAATGGCAATTAAGTTGACTGTACTGTCTGATCAGTGACTCAATATCCTTGATTCAAATAATCTTGACTATATTTTGATATTAGGCCATCTCCCACACAGTCCAACTATTGCTGACAACTAGTTTCATTCAGACACTAACCCTAAGTGAAATACAAAGAGCATTATAGATCAATCTCCTACATACTGATTTATAAGTAGTGGAAATACTTCCCTTTAGAAAGTCTCATGAAATTAAATAAGTATCATATGAATAAATGTAGAAGCACATTACTTTAGATTACCCTCTCTGAGGAACTGGATTACACCTACTACTGTAGTCAAGAGTGACAAAGACAACCACTGTAACACCAATATCTGCCGAGAATCACAAAACCAAAACCCAGAGCTCCTTTAAGAAATCTGCTAGAGCGAATGGAAAAAATGATGAGAATTTTCTAGTCTATTCTGAAAGAGCTCCAGATACATTTTATAACATTCCTCTATAGCACACTCAAGCAATTCTTATATTCAGGGTGGTTGAAATTTTCTTACAACCAAGATCTCTTCCTAGTTAAGCCCTTTCAAGGTAAGCAGGCTCTGACAAATTAAACATTTAATACAAATGTGACTTCTTTAAATTACTTTTCATCTAAAATGACTGCTTCACAATAAATAAGAAAAATCACCGGCTATTTCTAGTTCTTTAGGTTAATAATCTTAATTGATATTTGGATTATTTCTCATTAAAAAATAATTGCAAAATTCTCTTAAATAGACAATACATAACATATACAAAAATTAGAAAATTAAACATACATAAATCTTTTTTTTTGCAATAGAACATTTCATGTGTGAAAGTTTACATTTTTCAGATAGTTTTTTAAAAGGCAGATCTATGAACTAAAAAGTACCCTATACTCCTGAATTCTACCATAACAAGGGGACAATCTAACTTACCAGCATTGGCTCTCTCTATAGATTTTTGCCTCTAGAAAATAATACAAAGTTAATCCACCGAATAATTACCAAAACTGTACACTCTTTTCCAGTTTACAAATGACAACAAGACAAAATTACTATACAACCCAGCACTTTAAAGTTTCTGATGTTGGGGCACTTGGGTGGCTCAGTCGGTTAAGCGTCTGACTTCGGCTCAGGTCATGATCTCACTGTTCAGAGTTTGAGCTCCACATCAGGCTCTGTGCTGATGGCCCAGAGCCTGGAGCCTGTTTCAGATTCTGTGTCTCCCTCTCTCCCTCTGCCTCTCCCCCAGTCGTGGTGTCTCTCTCTCTCTCAAAAATAAATAAACATTAAAAAAAATTTAAGTTCCTGATGTTAACACTAGGCATATTGTGTTTTTAGAAAATGCATGTTTTACAATCCTGTGTTGATAAGAAAAATCCTTAAAACCTAAAGCATTTAATTAGATGAAGCAAATTACAGATCATGTTGACAATTCTCTTCCACTAATAAACCTGCAAAAGGTGCCCCTCTTATTTCATCTGGCTGACGCTGATCTTTTAGGTCTCAGCCAGTACTTCTTCCGGAGGCCTTCCCCAAATGCAGATTAGAGGCCCTAGTTAAACACTCCTAATAGAACTTTGTACTTCCACTAACAAAGCATTTAGGTACATTGTATTATAACTTTCTGGCAGTGACTGATACAAGTAGACATTCAAATAAATGTTGAAGGAAGAGGTCAAAGAGGTCAGAATGGCTTCAAAGTGGTAGAGAAGCCAACCCTTCAGATTAGGCTACAGCTGCAAATAAGGGGTTGAGGGTGGGAGCAGAGGTAGGAGGGCCATGGGTGATAGAGGACACTTCCTTGTGAATGAAAAAGGCAAGCTTCTAAAAGTAGTATGACAGTCAAACAAGAAAGTAAGACTAAGAATGACCATACACGGACTTACGAATCCGTTCAATTTTATAATGATATGCATAATTGGTTCAAAAATTAAACCAGGGACGCCTGGTGGCTCAGTTGGTTAGGCATCTGACTCTTGGTTTCAGCTCAGGTCATCTCACAGTTCATGGGATTGAGCTCCACCTAGGGCCCCAGCTCCACATCGGGCTCCACACTCTCAGCACAGACCCTGCTTGGATTTCTCTCTCTTCCTCTCTCTCTGCCCTTCCCCAGTTTGCATGCATGCTCTCTCTCCCTCTCTCAAAATAAATAAATAAGCTTTTTTAAAAAATTAGATAAACCAATTTAAGAAATAGTTTATTTTTTAAAATTACTTAAAAGAAAGATTCATAAATTGGAAAAAAAATCTCACCTGTCATAGGATCAAAGAGCTGATTAGCTTCTAAGTCCGTAAAAGTACTACTACAGACAGGACATTTGAAGGAAGCCCGGTTGGTGGAATCTCTCTCATCAGTTTCAATCCTCCTTCTCATGTGGTCCAATTTATATTTTACCACGTTAACAAGAGTACGATAATTAATAAAGTAGTAGTTATGGCGAGTGGTTTTCCCATCTGCAGCAGTCTCTACCCTCATTCTGCATTTGATGAACTTATCTCCCTTTAAATTATTCAAAACTGATCGAAGTTGCTTCCGATCAAACTTGAGCAGCTCCAACATATCCTCCTCTTTCACACAGGGGTTCCGGATCAAGATGTCCAAGGCCAAAGCATGCTCAATGCCATAAAACCCCCGGATCACGTACTTGGCTAGCCTCTTCAATGCTGCAGGAACCTCGGTGAGGACATCTGGGTCTGCCATCTTTAGCAGCAAACTTCAACTTTAAATAAACCAAATTCAGAAAAAAAAAAAAAAAAAAAAGGGATCAGAAGGACATAGTAATCATTTTAAATCTAGAATTATCAACCCAATAGGGAGCTGGTAGTTACCACCCTTTGAAGTGCCACAGGTCAATCTGAAGTGCCATTGTTTTTAAAGACTTATAAAGCCTGGTGGCTCAGTCTGTTAAGCATCTGACTTTGGCTCATGTCATGATCTCATGAAAGGAATTTCGACCTATTATTCTGTGCTGACACCGCTACAGACATTTCCAGGTGTGTCACCCTCTCTGACCCTCCCAGTAATAAATGCTCTGTCTCTCTCTGTCTCAAAAATAAATAAATGTTAAAAAAAAAAAATTAAGAAAAAGACTTATAAAGCCTAAGCATTTAACAGAAAACAAGATTTTCCTTTACAGTACACAGATTATACTTTAAAAGCTTCACATATTCCTTAAATGGTCATTTTCTTTTTTTTTTTTTTTCAACGTTGTTATTTTGGGACAGAGACAGAGCAGAAAATGGGGAGAAAAACACAGAATCAGCTCAACAGGCTCAGGCTCAGCCATCATGTAAAGGCTGGAACCACGATCAAGGAGATCATTGCGACCTGGCGGTCAAGTCGATAACCGGCGCATCAAGCCGACCTAAATAGCTTCCCCTTAAATGGTCATTTTCATGATCTACTGTGCTTGATTCTAAAAAGAAACTTATTACCAATAGCAATGTTGTATTATATCAAGCCCACTTTATTTCAGAAAAAGAAACAAAAAAGATAAATGAAGCCTCACTATTCTTAATGCTATAATCTTTGGGAATACTGGGAAACCCCTGAAAAATCTATCAGCATATCCTTAAAGTGTCTTTATTTCTTTTCTTGAGAAAAATTTTCCTACCAAAATCTATTCTAGGAGGTTTTACATAGTCATGCTTTCACAATAAAATCACAATAAACCAATAAACACATAAGTAATCACCAGATGGGTGTTTGGCAAAATTACTGTTATAAATCTGAAAGAAATTAACACTTGGATCCAGATAGCTTTACCAACCTTGCAAAGTTAAATCTGATGATCAGTTGAGTAAACAGTCAAAAAAAACAAAACAAAAACAAAAACAACTCAAGATATCTTTAAATACTGGATCCCTTCTTGCAGGACGAAGTACCCAGTTCTCATGTCATGACCCATAAGGCTATCTTCTACAAGCCCACACTGGCATGGGCTAGATTTTCACGTGGCTGTTAAAAAGCCTGTGCATTGGAATTCAGTTAGCCTGAGTTTTAGTAGCTGTGTGATCCTGAGCAAATTCCTTAAAACAACTTCAAGCCACATTTTACTCTCTGAGAAATAAGGATATTAATTACCTCAGTGAGGTTATTGTGGTGAATAAATAAGAATGTGAAGCAATATGTGTATTAGGAAACACTTGTTGATAAGGGTAGCTCCCATGTTGGTTTAATCATTAAATCAATACACGACAGCCAGGCTATCCACAAAGACTATGTCAACATTTCCCTACACTATAGGGAAATTTTTAAGAGGCTATTGAACTCTTTCAATAGAGAATCACATTCTTTTATTAATATTAGTTTCGATTGAACCTTTTGTTTATAATCAGTGGTTATCAACAGAATCAGATTTAATACCTTTTTTAGAAGAAATGTCTTTATATCCACAGTACTATACTATCAAGGTATTCCTAAACAACCAATCTATACACATATTTTGGGGGGGAAATATAATGCCCTATGTGTAATAAAGGAAAGATAAAAGGAAAGTCAGTTACAGTATTTCAGATTGTAAATAATCAGGCAGGAATGACTATATAAAAGAGACAAAGCAGGACCTAGATCCAAATCTATTGTAGCCCTAAAACATTCCTGTCATCCCAAGGCTGAAGGATGCTGAGCAAGTACCTGAGTTGAACACAAAAGTAGTATCATAGCATACTACCAGATGCATTTTGTTCTCCTTTCCAATTTGACCCCAGTTTTTTGTCTGCTTTGTTTTACACGCTCAACAGTTGGCAAAACATAACATACGGCCTCTAAAATATCTAACAAACGAAAAATGGCAGATAAATGTCAAAATAAATTACTTTTCCAGTATTATTTCCTACTGTTATATTGCCCTCCCTGACCTCCCACTCCATAAGCTCCATATTCTAGACCAATGGTTCTCAACCCTGGCTGTAAAGCAGAATCATCTGGGGAGCATTTAAAAACACCCATCCTGGGCCCCATTCCCAGATATTTTGTTTCAGCTGGTCTGGGAAAGCCAGGTTAGGCATAGTGTTATTTTATTTATTCTGCTATAACCTGTTATTTATTCTGTGTTCCAACACACAAAGTCTCTGACCACTGTTCCTGACAAATTTGGTGAGTGGCTACTACATGTCCCCCCAGTACACATTATCATTTTGCCTGTCTCCTTTGCCTGAAACACCTTAGTGGGCCCTACAGATTTAAGCAGGGAGTGACACGAGGGACTCTGCAGTACAATAGTTTTGGTTTAGAATCCCGGCTCCACCATTTCCTACCGGTGACGTTAGAAAATTCTGTTTCCTCATCTATAAATGATTGATAGCACCCTCCTCGTAGATTTGAAGTACAGATTACCTGAGATAATTCATGTAAAGTGTTCTGCTTTCAGGGCTAAAAACAGAAAAGTGCCATTAAATACAGGCATTGATAATAATACCCTCTATTTAGAAAAGAGACTCTTGTACCAATATGAGAAACGGCCATAAGTATTGAAGATGGAGCCACTGCAAAGCTATTAAGAGCCATGGTAACCAAGCCTAAACTAAGGAAGAAAGGACAGGATGAATGAAACTTACTACAAAAACAAAATTAAAAGAATCTGATAATTTATTGGAAATGAGTTACAGAGTGGGAAAATTTTAAATAGCTATTTGGGTTTGTTTGTTTGTTTGACAACACTTTTTATTGTGGTAAAATACACATAACACAAAATTTAGCAATTAACCATTTTGAAGTATACAGTTCAGTGGTATTAAATATATTCATACTGTGGCACGACTATCCCCACCCCCCATCTCCATAACTCTTTGCATCTTGTAAAACTGAAACACTGCACCCATTAAACAACATGCTTAATATTATTAAATAATGACATATAGTTATGTGCTTTGAGCCAGTGTAGCTAGGAAGAGAACACTACTACTAAGAAAAATGAGTTAACACCTGAAAGAGGAACAGGTATGGAAGAAATGAGGCATTCACTTTTAGATGCTTGTCTTTGACGATATACCACAGAATATTCTGTGAAGATGTCCAGCAGGTAGCTGAACAAATGAAACTGGGGCTCAGGAAAGAAGTCATGCTGTTCCAGCTTATGCAAAATCTCTACATTCTAAAATCATCCTTCCTGACATTTTGTTCTCTCCTCTATCATTTCTTCTTCCCCACTTAAGCTGAATCTCCTACCCAGTCTTTGGATTTACCATGTTACTTAAGTCAGAGGTCTCAAACTGGCAGCCTCTGTCACATTGTTTGACCCAAAGAACGTTTTGAAGATTTTCTGAATTAGTCATCAACACTGAAAAATCGTGAAATTTCACATAAATTTCAACTTTAAGCTTGAAGGTTGGAAATATCTGAGGAAAAAAGTGAGATCATGTTCCCACAGGGAAACAATAACCTGAAGCTGAAGAACAGTTGATGGTTTTAAACAGGGAAGGAGCTTGGCTGGCCTCTGGAGACTTTTGAATGTGTGACCTTTCGGCACCAACCTGTTTCTTCTTTTTTAGCCTCACAGTCCATCAGTCACCTCCCAGCCTCACCTACCTCCCTAACACAGTCCAGACCCCCAAGGGCAAGTTGGTTTGGTCTTTGAACAATGTATTCTCATCATACATTTAGCCAGGCACAGAGTTGGAGAAACAAAGTTGAAATGCATCCCTTCTCTGCACTGTTGACCCTTGTCAGCCTCATCCCCAGCCACACTGGCATTCTCTCAATTCCAATTCCATAAGCCACACATGCTTTCTCCACTTCCAGGCCTTTGCACATACTGTTCATTCTGCCCACAAAGCTAAGCTCAACTCCCTTCTCCTAATCATCTTTCACATATAAAATGACGTTTCTCAGGGAGACATTCCCAGATTCCCCCGAGTAGCTTAAATGTTCCCCTTTCACACACAGCGCTTCCCCTTTACTTCTCGCAGTAAATAGATCTGTACTGTCTTCATGTCCGTCTCTGAGACCAGGGCCTTTATCTTGTTCACCACTTTCTAGCACCCAGCACAGCTAGTCTAGCACTTTCATAAAACTTCCAGGAAGTCTCCTAAACACGTGTTCAAAATGCCCACCCTGCCAGCTTCCCCCAATTCACTTCCTCCACTGCTGCTTCCAGAGTAGAAAGACTACTGAGAACCCTCTCCTTCAACCTCAAATGGTTTTAAGCAGGCGGTGACAGGATTGAAATTCGCTGTTTTAAAAGGTTATGCTACAGGATGTAAAACAAAGGAGAAAGGAGCGGATGTGGGAATCCAATTAGATTATTTCAGCGTACCACTATTCCGGTTTTAGAAAACCATGGATCCTATACGTCTGTGCTTTTTTTCAGTTACCATCTTCCATGGCACTTTCCATACCTTCGTACATAAAGCGGCATAATCACCGCAAAAACTGCAACCGGCTGCCCTCCACGAGCTCGGTTCTGAGCTCGGTTCTGTAATGTTCACTTCTCCCCGCTGAGAGCCCCCGAGCCCCTAAATTCCCTCGGACTGTGCCAGGTGAGTCCTGGGGCCACACTCGGCGCAGCCAAGCCCGTCCTACCCGAGGTCGCACACGGGCCGCTCCGGGGTCAATGGTTCTTTGGAGGACCACGTCAAGGGAATAGCTAAGGGGATGCGGGTAGCTAAGGAGAAAGGAGAGAAAAGGGGGAGAAACCCTGAAATGCGACGCCGGACGAGGGAATCGAGAACAAGGAACAGGGAGCAAGGTTTACCAAAACGAATCTTCGAACACTCCCACTACAGCTTCCCTCAGCGCCTCAACTACCGGCTTAAACGAGCCACGCCACTAGTGCGACAAAGACAATTCCTTATTCCTGCGACCAGCTTTGGAACCCACCCACCACTTTTAACCGTACCGGCCAATCAGCACAGTGAGGCCTCCGATCAAGACAGGCACACCCCCGATTAGCCAATGAAATTGAAGACTCTCTCTTCCATACCCAGCTCTGGTTGGTCTACCATCCCGGAACAGGCGTTAACTCCGGGCTGTGGCAAGATGGCGTCCCTGGATCGGGTGAAGGTACTGGTATTGGGAGACTCAGGTGAGCGGCTTAATCCACCTCTAGAGTTCCTGACACTGTTGAGTTATCTGATAACCCTCTTCCTTCGCTACTCCCCCGCTTCTCCAACGAACTGGCTCTGACCGTGGCTGAAAGCCCTCTCAAGGTCTAAAAACTACACTTCCCAGAGGACTTTGCTCTGACGAAGGTGGCGTTGCAGGTGGGGGGCGCGGAGCCCCGACCTTTCTCCGCCTTCGCAGCTTTCCAAGCCGGTCTCCCGGGCGACCGCATCCTAGCTTGTATTGCCGATTCCTTTGTTTTAAGAGATATGCAGACATTGAGTATTGTATTGGGCGCTGTAAGAAAGATACAGAAGCTGGGATCGTGCCTTCAAGAGATTTTGTTCATTACGGAATTCAAACATGCGCTAAGAAAAATGACACTGTTCCAACTGCTTTACAGATATTAACTCATTTAATCTGAGACCAGCCCTATTAACCCCCTTTTACAGATGAGACAAGTGAAGAGGAGAGATAAATGACAGAAGCTGTTTGAACCCAGAGTCTACGCACTTAAACACTAAGTCATGTTATGAAATGAAATATTGGGTTGTAGTCCTGTTTTAGTCCTGTTTTACTCTCAGCTGGGCTTCTTGATTTCTTTGTTCTCTTTAATCCTAATTGAAAACCTATTATGTACTAGGTTGTAAGAAAAAGAGCAATTAAGATAAGGCTATATTATGAAACAGCTAGGATTTAATGCTGAGCTCAATTTAATCCTAGTGTTAAAATTCTTCTTTTGACACCTTGGACTTTTGAGAACTAGAAGTGAGGTCTGCATTTCCCCCTCTCACCTCACTACCATTCTCTTTCTTACCATAACTTCCAGCCCTGTGCTCATTAAGAACTTGGAATAAATGCTAACCTTGCATTTCGTGGATGTCCTTTTCTGGAGTTGACCTCTGAATGTGTGCTGTAAGCAAAGACATTATGCAAAATGCATGGAAGATATACCATGGAGAGGATACACCCTAAACAACTTGAAAACTAGCCTTACAGACTGTAAACAGTTGTGGTGGAGAGGAGGAAGTTAAGAATGTTTCCACATTGCCTGAAGATTATTTGCATTCCAAAATGTTTTATAGATAGCATTATTTAATATCCCCTTAAGAAAGTTGCATTATGAAATTCTTTTCATATAATCCAAGTTATCAACTCCAGTTCTTTAGCTTGAAGTGATGCTGAAGTTAATGAAGTCACTCAGCTAGTAATAATGGTCTAATGGGACTTGGCAAGAGTATAACCAAGTAGAATTTGAGACAAATTCAGAGCTAATGTGGTTCATGATGTATAAAGTGGGCTTTCTCCCTCATTTTTAATTCACTTTTCTATCACATCTAAGCAACGCTTGATGTTCCATATTGTTGGAATTAGTCGGTTTTTTTCTTTTTCACAAAAATACTTAAGTACCTGCTACATAGCAGGCACTATAGTAAGTGCTGAGGCTGTAACTGTGAAATCGATGCATTACATAACAGGGTTGAATTGGCTGCTGCATTCAATGTGGAAAAATGATCAGGCAATTAGTAAGCTTTTCTTTTTCCTGATAGCCTGGTTGTAAAACAGAAGACACAGTCATGCCCACTTGATTGATCTTGTCACACATTCACGGACATTAGGCTATGTATGCAAAATCGGTTATTGCCTTTTTGTCATTTCCCTTTTAACACTGATTTAATAACAGGTAAGGGTATGCTTTTTACACTTCATCTGCCTTTGTATTCAGACTTCAAAGTTTATTTTTGAATAAAGTATTATTTCCCCTGTGAAATGTTGAGGATTTCACAAACATATAAAAGAATGACTTGAAATGTAGAGATTTGTTTTATATCCCCTAGAGATAGTTGATAATTTAGTTAGGAATCCTGAAAGTCTCACTAATACACACATACGTTTTTCCTCTTTGTTCTTTCAGAGATAAGAGATAGGCTTAACACATTACCAGCAACTATATTTGGAACTGGCATTTATTTAATTATATTGGACTTTTTCCCCTAAGCAAATCAAGGGCATTCTTTTGATCTAATTCGATTCTAATGGTAAAAGCATAGAATTAGTACCTCCCAAAATTCTTAAAGAAATGAATAGTCAGCCAATTTTCTTGGCACTTCAGTAGTTCTTACTGCTGACAATCTATCCAGGGTTAGTCAACTCTTCCCACCCAAAACAGTTAATTCATGGAGAGCTATACAATATTAACTGCATAGAGATGTTTGCTGACACAGTTAAGCTTAACTAGAAACTCAAACCTTGCATCAGGCTGGTAACCAAGCGTGTAGATATATGTCTCCAACATAGACAACCTACATGGAAACACCAATCAACAATATGCCCTAAAGGTCACAGATGTCAAATGCAGTGCAGTAAATACAAAGACAGAGCCAAATTTGGGTACTCAAAAATCTAAAAGTCTGTGTTGAAAAAAATAAAAAGAATTAAAAGGAAACCTGAGAAAATGTTTGATTCAACTGCATAAGACAGCTAATATATAAAGAGGTTATGTAAATTGATAACCCTAAACCCATTAGATAAATGGGCAGAGAACATCAACAGATAATTTCGTAAGAGAGGAAAGACAACTGATTAACAAAGATTGTAATGGATATCTTTACCAGAAGGTAAAGAAATGCAGACTAAAGCAAGATGTCACTTTTTTTTTTTTTTATCAAATTAACATAGATGAAAAAGCAACAACATACATACTCTTGAGGTGCAACAGGATCTACAGGCTTATATGTATGGCTGGTGGCAGAGTAACCAGATGAAAGTTGTCAACATATATCAAGAACTTTAAATGTTCATTTCACTTCTGGAAGGGTATACTATGGAAATCATTTTAATTTGAAACAAAAATTTAAACAAGTCTTTTCTTAGCATAGTGAAAAGTTCAAAACATATCTAATAATGAGGGAATGGTTAAGTAAATTGTTATGTCTACTCTCTGAACTACTATGGAGACATTAAAAATGTTTCTGAAGGGATACCTGGTTGGCTCAATCAGTTGACCATCCGACTTCAGCTCAAGTCATGATCTCAAGGTTCTTGAGTTTAAGCCCCACATCTGGCTGGCTAGCAGTCTGTCAACGCAGAGCCCGCTTCGGATCCTCTGTTCCCCTCTCCCTGCCCTTGCGCTCTCTCAAAAATAAATAATATTTTTTAATGTTTATGAAGATTCTGTAATAACATGGAAAAATTTAGCCCCTAAATAAATATTAATTAAGGCACTGTTCTGGAGACTGGAGATGAAAACAATGTGTAAAACCTAGTCCCAACCCTCAAAGAACTTAAACTGAGTGAATAAAAACTATAAACAAAGAAGTGTAATAAGGTGTTTTTTAAGTGCTTTGTAGAAAAATGTACAGGGCACACAGGAGACCCAGAGGATGGTGGATAGTGTGCTTAGTTCTACCTCTGTGTAGTTCAAGAAAACTTTGTAACTAGAAAGATGCTGAGTCTTGAAAGATTAATTCACCAGGCCAATTTGGGAGCGAAAATGAATGGGCAGGATGGGGAGAATATTTCAGACCAAACCAGCTATGTAAACAAAGGCGGGTATTGTCTTTAAGTTTACCATGTATATATTCACAATAACAACCTACTTTTAGAAACCCCCTGCTAATGGTATTAAATAAACCTACATGTTGCTTATAGGGCTCTTCAGGCCATTTTTCCTTTTTTAAAATTCATTCCAGATTGTCTGTAAATATAACTCTTTATAATAAAAAATAAACATAATTAATAGGTTCATACACAGGAATGCCCACAAACAGGTGGTCTAAATTTTTGCTACAACTAGTGTTACATAAAGATTCACCAGCTATGCTTGTTACAGTGGCATCCCAAAATGCTGTTAATTGAATGAGTGACTCTACATACAGGTATACAGAAGAACTCATTCTCTTTCTTCTTCATCTAGATCTCCAAATGCTAGTTCTAGCATTAATAACTACATTATCTTGAACCCAGTGGGTCTACAAGAAAATAAAGTTCTGCCTTAAGGTAAAGGACCATGATGTAGAAGAGGGAATAGAGTAGTTCTATTTTCCCAAAGGGTCAAGTCTGAGCCAGGTTGTTGACTGCCTTTTAAAAATCACTATATAGGAGAACTAGAGGGTCTAAATATGAAATTGTGAAATGGTGAATCCCTGTCACAATATTCAAGCACAGTTTGAGAGAACCACTGTCTTTAACCATCTTCTCTGTATCAATAAAGCTTATTAAGTGGTTGGTATGGTATGACCACCCTTCAGCCAACCATACTTTACCTATCATTATTACTGCATATGCTCAGTCTTACTTTTGTCATAATGGATATTTCAGCATGTCTCTTACATGACTAGAGTTCTTAAATCTTTTACAGGTGTTGGGAAATCTTCACTGGTTCATCTTCTGTGCCAAAATCAAGTACTGGGAAATCCATCATGGACTGTGGGCTGCTCAGTAGATGTCAGAGTATGTGTTTCCGATATTTTAGTTTTTCTTTAGTCATATTAAAGATCAGTCCTTCAAACTACATGATCAAATTATAGTACTGTAGTCAAAACTGTTACTAATAGCTAGGCTTTATTAACTACCTACTCTGTGTTAGATACTATGCCAAATGCCTTGTATGTCTTTTCTTATTTAATCTTTTTTAAACTGAGACATAACTGGAGAAACTAAGACATGGAGAAGTAAACTACCTTGATCAAATTCACTCAGTGCAAAAAAAGCAGAGTTAGGATTGGATCCTAGACTTAACCCAGTCTATGGCCATACCACCCTGAATGCACCTGATCTCTATCTATCTAAGTAGTCTTAATCCAGAGACTTCTGTGTTAATTACTGTGTTATATACCCAGAATTCACTTAACATGCTCCATAAATAATTCTATCTAATCCTTTGGCACTAAGACTGACAACTTGGGGCTAGAAATATAAAGTCAAAAGCTTCTGGAGCCTTATATCTGGGTCTTCTTCTCTTCCACTTCACATTTAGCAAACTTGGGTACAGTTTCCTAACTCTCTATCTTCCCAGATACTGTTGGTCTTTGCTAATCCCAACTAGTCCTGTCCAAGTGTCTCTTCTGCTAGCATACATCTCTCCATTGACTTAAGAAATGAAAAGGGAAGGAATTGTTCAATTGAATTAGTTCAATTGACAGTTATTTTCCTTCAGTTCTTTGAAGCTATTGTCCCATAGACTGTGACTTATATTTCTAGTGATTGGAAATCTTTTGTCAGCCTAATTATTATTCCTTCTTAAGGTAATTTCTTCTCTCTAGTTGCTTTTAAAAGATTTTTTTTTTTTATGTTCTGTAGTTTTGCTAACTTATGTCTAGGTATGTGTTCATTTTTAGTCATCCTGTCATAAGGTTGTGCCTCTCCTGTCTGTCTTTATTTTTCAAATTTTTTAGCCACTATCTGTTGTCTTCCCTCATTCACTCTGTCTTCTCCTTTTGAACTTGTATTAGATTTTTTTAATGTTTTATTTATTTTTGAGACAGAAAGAGACAGAGCATGAGCAGGGGAGGGGCAGAGAGAGAGGGAGACACAGACTCCGAAGCAGCTCCAGGCTCCGAGCCGTCAGCACAGAGCCCGACGCGGGGCTGGAACTCACGAACTGTGAGATCGTGACCTGAGCCGAAGTCGGACGCCCAACCAACTGAGCCACCCAGGTGCCCCAGAACTTGTATTAGATTTTTATTCTCTGTGTCTTTTAATTGTACTTACATGTTTTCTATTTTTTGTTTCTCCTTTGTGCGTTCTGGATCATGTATTCATATCATTAAGAATTTTTGGGGGCGCCTCGGTTAAGCATCTGACTTCGGCTCAGGTCATGATCTCAGATTCGTGAATTTGAGCCCCGCATAGGGCTCTGTGCTGACAGCTCAGAGCCTGGAGCCTGCTTCAGATTCTGTGTCTCCCTCTGTCTCCACCCCTCCCCCACTCACACTCTGTCTCCATCTCTCTCTCAAAAAATAAATAAACATTAAAAAAAATGTTTAAAAAAGAATCCCTTCAATTATGTCTAATCTGCTTTTTAATATATCCACCAAGTTTTCATCTCAGTAACTATAATTTTTTATTTCTAGATATTCCTTTTGGTTCCTTTTCAAATGTCAAAATCTTTCAAAATATCCTGACCTCTCATTATGGTTTTACTTTTTATTTTATTAACATAGTATTTGATGATTTCTTTTGGATTGTTTTATTTTTTCTGAGTGGGTGATAGATATTCAACTTGCTGTGTATGCTGACTATACCTCATGAAAATATATGTCTTTGTATGGTTTATAATTCTTTGAAGATGATCACATCTTCAGCAGGATATTTTTTTTCTTCTTCCCTGTGGAAATTTTGTGTGCTTGTTGTGTGAAAGTACAGTACCTTTTCATTTCTGTTGCTGCCAGAGCCCTAGGGATTTCAAGGGTACTTACAATTTTACAGCTAGGAGTCTCCATGCCACCTAGATAATGTATATTCTTTAAGTTTCCGATTCTAGTACAGGCCTGTGGTTTTCATTTTTTGTGGACCCTCTATCTGTTCTGTACCACCCCTACCTGAAGTCCCTGACAGAAAGTTTTTCCTACTTTTCTGAACCAGTGGACAGTTCTTCCTACTCTCTTTGACTGGGCAGCTCACCAAGGGTCCAGATTTCATGAAGGGAACTGTAGTCTAGTCTTTGTCACCCACTCATATATATTCTGCCTTAGAAGCCAGAAAACAGGGGCACCTGGGTAGCTCAGTCAGTTAAGCATCCAACTTCATCTCGGGTCATGATCATGAGATTGAGACCCATGTCGGGCTCTGCATTGACAGCACAGAGCCTGCTTCAGATTGTCTGTCTCCCTCTCTCTCTACCTCTCTCTCTCAGCCTCTCTCTCTCTTTCTTTCTCTCTCAAAAATAAATAAACATTAAAAAAAAAAAAAAAAAAAAAAAAAAAAAGCCAGAAAACAGATCTCTATTCCTGGATGGACACTAAAACTCCAGGGACCAGCCCCTGAAGCTGTCTCCTCTGAATCTGGGTCAGTTCCCACTTCTCACTCTAATTTTAAGTTCTTCATTTCTGGCATCTCAGGATTTCCCTTTATTTTCTTGAACTTGTCCTCTTTATTTTATAAAAATATTTCTATGGCATTTCTGTGAATTTGAAGTCAGAGGGGACCTGTATGTGTCATTTCAGCCTGCTATGTTCCCAAATTCTTGGATATAGGAGAAAAACAAATACTAGATAATGAGTTCATTTGGCAACTTGCCAATAGCAAGTTCTGGACCGAATTTCCTTTTGGACTTTTCACAATCCCTTTCTGTGGGAAAGCATAATATTGAAAAGAAACTTAGATTTAAACTCCCACTTCCTGGGTCAGTTCCCATATTGCCTTTTGCTTCCTCAAGAGTGACTTTAGAGTAATCAGTTTACTTCTCTGAGCCTTAGTTTATCCTCTACAGAATATAGGTAAATAATGCCTGCTTTAGCTAGCCTTCAGGTTTGTAGGTTATGTTATACTGTGACTGATTTTACTGGAATGAGTCTGGTACTAATTGGCTCCTATAAAGCCAGGCTGGCCTGAACTGCATTATTGTTGAAGAATGGGGCATATGGAGGTGAAAGTTATAACTCTTCACTGTGTCTTGAGCTAGTTGGTCTCTGTCTTTCATCTTTGAGAAGAATGCATTTCTTGAATGACAACATAAGTGAAAGGCATTTGTAAATGATAATCTTAAGGAAAGTTGTCATAGACATGTAAATTGTTTTGACTACTGTTGTAATAAAGTAAACAGTTCTTCCCTCTAGCAAGAATGATTAAATCTGATAAAAACCGGGGCGCCTGGGTGGCGCAGTCGGTTAAGCGTCCGACTTCAGCCAGGTCACGATCTCGCGGTCTGTGAGTTCGAGCCCCGCGTCGGGCTCTGGGCTGATAGCTCAGAGCCTGGAGCCTGTTTCCGATTCTGTGTCTCCCTCTCTCTCTGCACCTCCCCCGTTCATGCTCTGTCTCTCTCTGTCCCAAAAATAAATAAACGTTGAAAAAAAAAATTTAAAAAAATCTGATAAAAACCATTACCTAAATAGCTTGGAATACTTTCTTCTGTAGCAGCTTTTGTATTGCAGTTATAGCTTCTATGTTATTGAAACCAGAGAGAGGGTATCTCCAGAATCCAGGTAGATGTGTTAATACACTCTTTTCAAAACTCTTAGAAACAATTGTCTGTTTTAGCTCATTTTTCATCTAAGAGCTTACTAAAAATAGAGATAATAAAGGTGATAATGTAATTGTTTAATTCAAGTATTGGGTGAAACTAATGCGCTTAATGTATGTACTCAGTAATTACTAACATTTGGATTTAGTATGCATTGGAGAGGTATTCATAACTGAATTGAAGGGAAAAGGGAAAAGTTTTATTTTACAGTGTTCTTCATTCATGACTGTCTTCTAATTTTGTTGCCCCAAGTCTAATGGGACTAATATAAATGCATGGCTACTCTTAATCATGAAAACAAGACTTACAGAATTTTAATCTTTCCGCAAATTATAAATAAGGAAATTGACTTGTAATTTATTGTTCATTTTAATGGGATTTTAACTCTCTAATTTACACATTGCATACAATCAATATTTATTGACTTCCTCTTTGGGCAGCATAATAATGTGCAAGCACTGAGGAGAAATTTAAAAAGAAAAGACAATCTCTATCCTCACTAAGAATGTGAAGTAGGATCTAGTAGGTGGCACAAAGTTCATATATATGAATAATTTTAAAAATAACATACTGGGGTGCCTGGGTGGCTCAGTCGGTTAAGTGTCTGACTTCAGCTCAGGTCATGATCTCATGGTTCGTGGGTTCGAGCCCCGCATCGGGCTCTGTGCTGACAGCTTGCTCAGAGCCCGGAGCCTGCTTCGGATTCTGTGCCTTCTTCTGTCTCTGTCCTTCTGCCTCTTTTGCACTCTGTCTCTTTCTGCCTCTCAAAAATAAATAAATGTTAAAAAAAAAATTTTTAAAGAAATAAATAACAATAGTACTGAATGATGGCTTACTTTGCCTAAGCACCGGTTTTACAAACTAATTCAAGTGATTCCCACAACAACCCTTCCAGATAGGTGCTCTTAGTGCCCCTATTTGATACATGAAGGAGTAGAGGCACAGAGGTGTTAAATGTCTTGTCCAAGGTCACATTGCTAGTTAGTGATGGGTTGGAATTCAACCCCAGGTGGTCTGGTTCAAGAGCCTGTGCTCTTGAGCACTATTCTGTACTGCCTCATGTTCCAGAATGGTATTAAGAAAAAGTATTCTGCTGTTGAATACAGTAACCACTAGACTAATTGTGGCAATTTAAATTTAAATTTAATTTAATTAAAATTTTAGTTCCTCAGTTAAACAAACTAGCAACATTTGAACTGCCTAATAGTAACATGTTGCCAGTGGTTACTGTATTGGACATTTCCATCATTGCAGAACATTCTGAGACAGC